AACTCTTTCTGTTAATTCCAGCCTTTTGGTCCTCGTGGCTAACACTAGCTTTTGGACCTCCATCTTGGCCAGTTCTAATTTCAGGACTGCTTCACTGGGATGTGGTCCAGGCAGAGTTCCCAAGCCTGCACCCCCTCCCCCCCATTTCTTTTTGAGGAGTCTGGCTTCTCTGCCTCTCACTTATGTTTCATGAGCACAGATCTCATTTCCTCAAGGGTTTTCCCTATAGCAACTAATCCACGTTCTGTGCACAGATGCTCAAACCGAGCACTGGTCTGTTTGGCTCAGGTTTCTTGCTTGCTCATTTTGCGTTGTCTTTTCTTCTGTTTCCCTTTCCTAAAATAAACCCAAAACAACAAAACATAATAGTTTTTCTCTCCCTGTTTCCCACCGTCTCACTTTTGAATCTCCCAGTAGCAATGTTATCTGGTATATAAGTGCCTTGAGCAAATGGGGTGTAGATCCTGCCAACTACTCCACTGTGACTCTTCCTGGGGGTACCCAGGATTGTGAGGCACCTCACCACCACCCGCCCTTAGTGAGAGGAAGTCTTGTCTGTGCCTATTGGGAGTCAGCTCCCTAACTCCACTGCCCCTCCACTGTCCCCTCTAGGCCTATGCAGGGCCCTCTCTCTTTATTGGTTAGCGATAGGCACGCTCCAACCCTCAAGCTCTCTGAGCATCTCCCTGGAGTGTCCAGCCCCCATTCCACTAGACATGCGCAGTAGTCACAGATCCACTGTTTCCAAAGCATCAGCACACCCCAGTTTACCAGCTTCAACGCAGATCACTGCTCCGCTAGAGAGACAGCACTGAGATATGTTTATAGTGAAATCAAGTAAGAGTTTGTTTAACAAAGTATAGAGACTCAAGTGATAGCAAAAGAAGATTTGGAACCAAATGGTTACATATAAAGTAAAATTGTAACAAGCATTCTAGAACCTAGACTTACTTAACTAGCTCTTTTCCTGGCCTATGGAGCAATGCTCACCTAAAATCCTTCCAGCTTTGTACAACCAGGCATGACTATGATCTTCCATTTAAGAGACAAGGCACGCTGTCAATTTGCTTCCTTGGTGAAAGATCCAGGGTGTACCTGCACTGCCAGTTATACCCCAACAATTCACTGTCTTTACCCGTAAACAGGATTCCCTGCCTGCTCTTTATTTCTTCCTGGAAATTCTCTCTCATGAAGATATTGCACTCCCTTGATTAGAATCAGGTTCAGTATGTAAACAGACTTCCCCTGTAAAGCAGACAATCCACAATGACCAAGGAGAGAGATAAGTGTCTTTTACCCCCTACCTGCAAGGAATATGTTTGAAGTTTGTCACTTGCTGGTTATCTGCCCTAGGAACATAATTTTCAGCATAGAAACATTAACTCCTTAATTATTCTCCCATCCAGACACAGAGCAATGATTAAGATGACAAGTGGCCTACCAGCTCCCAGAAGAGATCTCACATGCCAGTCTTTAGTGAATTATTATGTTTATATCCAACTCAGAGGATCCTTGTAAAATCCTATGAGCCCTCCGTGCCCTATGCTAGTTGATAACCTAGAGGTCCCTGGGTACCCTAGAACAAACTACCAAGGGAAGCGGCTGTTTCTCCATCTCTTGCATTCTTCAAATCAAGACTGATGCTTTTCTGGAAGGTCAGCTTTAGCCAAACATAAGTATTTGGTCTCCATGCATCAGTAACCAGGTGAAATTCTTTGGCTTGTGTTACACGGGATGGTATAACGATCTTTTCTGGCCTTAATCTATAAAACCATGCGATGCGCCCCCAAAAGTTTTACCACCACACATCTGAGTGAAGTACCAGTGTGGATACAGCAACACGAGTGTTATTTTGCAGTGTGTCTGCTCTCACTCAGGCTTGGCTAACTTGAGAGAAGTAATTTGAGTATCGATAACTCAAGTTAACTTTGCAGTGAAGGCACAGCCTTGGTGGCAAAAGCGGGACTGGTTCTTCAACCCAAAGAGCAGGAGTGTGAGGAAGTTCAGCACCCTAGGAGTGTATTCCCAATGCATTCTACCTATCTGCCCAAGTCCTGCCCCCAGAGAGATGGTGGGCAGTACTGCGTGGGCTATGATGCCAGATATAGTGGTGTGGTGCTGGGCTGAATAGGGGTCTACTTATTCCATGCCACCCTTACTTCTCCACTGCCGCTGAGGGTGGTACTGCATTCAAAGCTGGATGCCTGGCCTGCAGCTGCCGCTCTCTGCTCTCCCTTCAGAACTGGGCAGCTCGAGGGACATAAACTACTACAGACACAAATACATTTGAGAACCACTGATTTAGAATATAGAAAGGTCACAACGAGAAACTTCAATGTTCTCAAACTTGCTCTTGAATACAAAACCTTAATGAGACCTCCTCTGCTTTTGTATCAACAGATCAGCACCTTCTTGTTACACATTCCGTGCACTTGGGATGTTCTTCTGCCTTAATGCTGCTGACATCACAATGTCAACCCTTGTGAAGAGTGTGAGACTGTAACACAATGCAGTCAGTTCTTTGTATCTATATCTTATTCTCATTTAAAAGTTACTGAAAGTACGTACATGAAGAACAATACTCCATGTTCAGCAGTGACACATCTCCTGGCAGATGGAGGGAACCTTCACCAAGGGGTCTGTGTGATCAGTAACTTCCAAAATCACTCCATTGATTCTCTCATGGACTTCTGTAAACTGAATACACCTAGATGTTGTTGCAGCAGCATGGCACATGCCTGTATTCCACCAGCAGGTCTGCCCATTGCACTCATCTTTTCTCCGGGTTTCTAGTCCTTGGTATGACACTTGCAGGAGTAATGACCACCATTCTGGCCAACACAGGGACCTGAACTGATGACCATCAGAGCTAAATGCATAAGCCTTTATAGTCTGTCTTAAAGAAGCAGGCTCTCAGGAGAACTCTCACAGCCTCACATTCTCTGTGGATTGGGACAACACACACAGTGATCAGTGGGTTACATCAGCAAAATGTGACAAATTACTGAATGGTGCAATGGATGCATTTTGGCGAGTCACCATAATTTACAGATTGAAACAGTTTTGGAACTTAAACTATGATAAAGAAGGTTAATCACAGCGTAAATCATGTACAACCATCCTATCCCGCAGAGACAGGCTTGGAAGAATTTAATCTTTATTATAGTTTTGATGGATAATATAAATGTCTGTTCTAAAGCATTTTTTCCAACTTCTTTATTGATTTACATTTTCACAACCGCAGGAAATTATGGTGGTGGTGGGGGGTTAGACAATAATGGTTTAATGGCAGTAGATGCTGAGACTCAAAAAGTTAAAACTTTATAACCATGAAAACACAAACTGTCAACATCACATGCCAAAAAATACCAAGTAGATATTTGGTATCTTAAACTCTAATAAGTTCTCAGGCAGAGTATTTCTTATCTTGCCTATCTGTAAGTTTATATTATCATCAATAGAAATATTTTTTCCATTGGTTTTTGTGTGTACAATAGAATCAATGTTTATCAACAAAAACTGAATCCTTCTGAGCCCACTCACAGATGAGCAGCAGAGCATGAACACCTTGACCTTCCGAACTGGAGCATAAACCCTTATTACTGGAGCTACAGGAGTAACCAGTAGTAGAGAACATCAGCCACCGGAGGAGGACTTGACACACATTTTCCCCACCCGGTTACACAACTATTTATTAGTCAACAGTAGGGTACTGATGATCAGGAATCCTGGATTCTGGCTCTGGAAGATGAGTGTTTTTTTAGTGATTAGATACAGGGGAACCAAAACTGGCTTACTCAGTCTAAAAAGCATGTGGTTTAGTCGATCAGATTGGAATGTGTCATGTTAGAAACAGAAACTTAGTTTCTGTTCCTGACTGTGATCTTCTGTAAGCTCTCTTACTTATTTTAAAAGATAGGGGTGTTCAGGAGCATTTCCCTGTCTTTTAAGGTTGGGAGTTTATGGCCTTATTAATACAGTGAATTGTATGGGACAGCGGAAGTTAGAAGAATTGAGAGTTGAACTTCTAGTCTTTTGCCCAGCTCAGGGATGCTTTCCCTAGGCAACAGAGCATCTGGTGAGGGAATCTGTTGGCCATTTTGTTGCCCCCTAGTGAGAGCATTCATCCCACAGCAGATATTTTGGAGGATTTGGCTTGGTGCACAAATTTGCTATCATGAAAACAAAGTTATAAAACGCTCCATAGACAAACACTATCGATGTGTAACTGACAGAATCAGCACTTGAGGAACAACCGTGTAAACAAATGACACATCTCAGAGCGGTTTAGATTTCTCATCAAAAGGGATGGTTTTGAACTTTAGGAGTCTCTCTTTATCAATACATTTTTTATTATTTGATATCTAGTTCTCAAACTTTACATCCTCTGTTGTTATGATTGGTTGGTTTGTTGCCATTTCAATTAGGTTTCTACAGAATAAATGCTTAAAATTTGCATTACAGATTTTAGTTTAACTGTGGAGAAGCTACAGCTCCACCATAATGTTCTTTTGTTAGTGACCATTAGCATGTCTCAGGTCCACTGTAATTTGTGAAGTTTTTTAGGCATTGTAGTTGCGGAAGGGGAAACACGTTCACCAACACAACACAAAATATTGAGCCAAGTTCTCATGCAGCCTGGATCCCAGCTCAGGTTTCTGCTCTACCTACATGTATGCAGAGGCTCTCTTTGTCCTCTGTTGCTATAGTATATAATGATGAATGGTAACAATTAACATAAAATAGTTAATTACATGTTGCTATAACTTCCCATCCAAAATGTAACATCCAAGATGCATTATAATACAGACACACACAATGCAGTCACTATATAGTTCTTCTTAACAACTGTTTTAATCAACATACAGATTTTTTTTAAATCTGTTTAGTTAGGCAAATAGCCTTCCAGACTCAAGAACAAAGAGCCTAATCACTTTCACACATTTTAAAACACAGACACTTATAAAACATAGACTGAGCCTAGTTCCAGGGCACATTACCTGCAATGAATGTGCAGCCTTTACCCAGGGTCTCCAAGAAGAAACAGATCAGCATCTATGAAAGGAAAACTGTTTAACCATCTAGTGACTTTAAAACTGGAATCCAAACATTAAAGAAACCACAGTAACTTCCAAGAAAGAAACACAATTCTATTTTTCTGTGATATACAGGAGGTGGTTTACACCCAGACCCTCAAAGATTTTAAGGTGCCTATCTGCCATTGATTGGTACCTTTGAGGATCTGGGCCTTAGACACTCCTCCACACCAGTAAAAGGCTAGACTAAGGCAGGGACACAACTACACGAGATCTAACTCAATCGATGAAAAGTCCTTCTCTCCTACTTATTGCTTGAATATACTGATCTAGAGACTACTCTCTGCCTTGGTTTCTTAAGCTCATTTTACCAAGGTAAAGGCAAGTCTCCAAGAAAATCGTCTGACCCAAGAAGCCAAAATATAATGACACACAAAAAGTAGCAGCAATTGTGACATGAAGCCAGATGCTTAGCTTGGTTAACTGTTGCATTTCCATTGACTTCATTGGAGCAACACTAGTTTACACCAGCTGAGTACTTAGCCGAAGATCAGTATGCAGACCAATCGGGAAGACACAACACTTCCAGAACTAAGCTTACCGGCAGGATGAAAATTCGGAAGCACTGACTCCTGTCTGGAAATCAATTAACCTGAGGCACTTAACATATTTGTAAGGGCTAGTGTGGACATCCAACGTGTTTATTGTTGGTTACAAATGTTTGTTCCTTACCTTATGTATCAGTGTATGAAAGATACCTTTAAGTCACGTATAGTTTGTTCCCTAGGGGCCATTGCAGGAAATTTTCTAGTGCTTCATCCAGCACTAAGTTTTAGTGTTTTCAAATATTTAGAAGTGGGCAATAAGTGCTATTTTGGTTTCTGTTTTTTAAGGAACTAGGTGGCAGTTAAAACAGCAGCATGCCATTAATAAGGGCTCATCTACACATGGAGTGACACTGGAATGCTTTAAATTTAAAACTTACCTTATTCTAGAATGACAGGTTTCAGAGTAACAGCCGTGTTAGTCTGTATTCGCAAAAAGAAAAGGAGTACTTGTGGCACCTTAGAGATTAACCAATTTATTTGAGCATGAGCTTTCGTGAGCTACAGCTCACTTCATCGGATGCATACCGTGGAAACTGCAGCAGACTTTATATATACACAGAGAATATGAAACAATACCTCCTCCCACCCCACTGTCCTGCTGGTGCAGTTTCCACGGTGTGCATCCGATGAAGTGAGCTGTAGCTCACAAAAGCTCATGCTCAAATAAATTGGTTAGTCTCTAAGGTGCCACAAATACTCCTTTTCTTATTCTAGAATAATTTTCATGTGTTCACATGCCCAACTGAACCGAAGTAACCATGTTATCATTACTTTCTTCCAATTCCCTCATTCTTTGTTGATATACCCACTTGCTGCATCTTGTCTCAAAGCTGGATCCTGCAGACAAATACACACACTAACCTTACTGATACAGTCCTATTAACTTCCAGTTGGGCTGCTCATGTGAGTAAAGTTACTCACACATACCTTTGCAGGATGTAGGCTCTTCAAGGCAAGAGATTATAACAATTACACGGTGCCTAGCACAATGGGGTCTGACCCCAATCAAAGCATTTGGGGGCTACCATAATATTTGTGATCAGAACTCAATACACATTCATTGTTAGTCACAGAATTTAGTATTCCCTACTGCACTCCTTCATTTAGAGGTGCAGTGGAATCCTGTGGGCCCTGTTAACAATGAAAAAGATGCGAAGACAACTTGGGTTATAACTTGAGATGCCAATCAGTTGGTAGGTTTCAGAGTAGCAGCAGTGTTAGTCTGCATCCGCAAAAGGAAAAGGAGTACTTGTGGCACCTTAGAGACTAAAAAATTTATTTGAGCATAAGGATGCATCTGATGAAGTGAGTTGTAGCTCACTAAAGTTTATGCTCAAATAAATTTGTTAGTCTCTAAGGTGCCACAAGTCCTCCTTTTCTTTTAATCAGTAGGTAGTGAGTGTTACATGTCACTACCCTTCTGAACATGCTTATAGGGTCCAGGTTCATAGCAGTCTGTGACTCCTGGGGAATGGCTCCTGGATCTCCTGTCCCCCGGGGAGGGGGTAGAAAAGGGTGTTGCCATTCAATATTGGGAAGGAAAACAGGAATATAACGCAATAATTTCCCTGTCTATTCCCCAAGAGGCTTGAGAGAACCAGGTGCAGGCTCCCAGGGGAAGGGAATGCTTTCCAGACACGTCCCCCGGCCTGTCCCTAGTTTAGCTAAAAACATTTCCCATCCCCTGGGGCGCCCTATGCAGATAAAGGCTTCTTCTGTGAACTCTCCCTGGTGCACCCTCTGCTCCAAGCCCGGCTCCCACACCGAACCACGACAAGCGGAGAGTCCAGAAAGCTGCACACGCCCAAGCATGGAGGCTCTCGCAGGGTGCTCTGCGGGCTGCGTTACGGAGAGAAGGGAAGCTGTGATTTTTGCGTCTGACCGCTCAGTGCTGGCCACACCCGTAAGCCGCCTGCGCCTGCCAAGGATCGGGTGCACCCCGGACCGTAGAAACCTACAGAAGGGTCGCTGGGGCAGATCGTTGTGTGAAAGGGCCGGAGGCTCGGCCCGCAGAGGGACGCGCTCCGGGCAGATTTCCTCTTCCCTTTGTTCTGGGCAGCGCGGGTCTCCTGCACGGCGGGGGCAGGAGAAGAAAAGCACCAAAGAAACCTTCCTAGTAACCCTCTTCCCAGCGCTGGCCCCATGCGAGGGGTGGGGTATAAAAGATCCTATCAGGGGCAAAATCCCAGCTGGGGACGGGGTGACCGGACTAAGAGTGAAACCGAAAGTAAAGACAAGCCCAGCGAACAGCTGGCAGCCGGGGCAAGAAGGTGCCAGATCGCCAACAGCGGATCCGAACCTAAATTGTACATGACACAACATACTTACCCCGGTTAATAGCAATCCTAGGGCGGCGGCCAGGGCTGCTAAAGACCCAGGTGAATGATATCCGCTGCCTTCCCTCCGGGACCTCGCCTTGCTCTATAAGGCTCCTCCCCAGTAGGGCTCTAGAGGCAGGTCTACATGAAGCCCGGCCTATCAGATCAGTATGTGGGGGGACAGATTTTTCACACCCCGGAGCGAGGCAGTTAAACCCATGTAAGGCCAGTTATACACAACATACTTCGGTATAACTACATCGCTCAAGGGTGTGAAAAATCCAGCCCTGCCCCAGAGACGAAGTTATACCGACCTTCACCCTGTGTAGACATAACTACTGCCTCTTGCCAAGGTGGAGTAACTAAGCCAGCCCGAGAGCTCTCTCCCATCCGCTTAGAGAGTCTTGACCAGAAGCCCTACAGTGACACAGTTGCGTTGGTGCCTCAGCTCTGATGCAAGTTTGTAGTGTAGCCCTGCCCTAAGTTTTTATAGTGTAGACCTGGCCCCGGAGTTGGGCAGTAACTGCATGGCTTACTGGTGTCCATGCCCCTAAGCGATGTCCAATACTGGCACACGTTTATAGCATAGGGCCAGCTCTACACTATCAACATACATTGGTATAACTGCCTTGCTCAGGGGTGTGAAAAACCCATGCCCCAGAACAACTTCGTTATACCTAGAGCCCTGCAAATCTGCCGATATCCACGGATGCAGACATCAGTGGACCATGTTTGTGGATCATGGATGGATGTGGATCCAAATTTTATATCTAGAACCCTGCAAATCTGCAGATATCCACTTTATATCTATGTTGGTGGATCGCAGATCGGATGCGGATACAAGTTTTGTATCTGTACAGGACTCGGGAAGACATGGCTGTGTCGGCAGGAGCGCTTCTCCCATCGATATAGCTACTGCCTCTTGTGAATGTGGATTAACGACGCTGACAGGAGAAGCTCTCCCGTCAGTAGAGTAGTGTCTTCATTGAAGTGCTACAGCATTTTAAGTGTAGACGTGCCCCCAGTGTAAACAGCGATATATTACCTGGAAGCATTTTTCTCTCCGTCTCATATTTTGACCTTCTGAATAAATGCTATATTTCAATAGAGGAGCTATTGTTTTAATCCAACAGAATTATTTCCTGGTAGCCTTGTGCAAACCATTAGCTCATATAAACCATGCAACTAACTTCTCTACCCTGTGCTGATGGGCTGTTTGCTCCAATCTTCCCTTTCCCTACGTCTCCACTCTACACCTACTCCTAGAGTGACCAGATGTCCCAATTTTATAGGGACAGTCCCAATATTTAGGGCTTTGTCTTCTATAGGCACCTATTACCCCCCACCCTGTCCCAATTTTTCACACTTGCTGTCTGGTCACCCTACCTACTCCTCTTAATCTTCTTCTCTCCTGTCCTGTCCTTCTGAACCCCTTCCCTTTTCATCCCAGTTAGCTGATCCCCTCCTAAATAAACCTCACCACCAAAAGATGGTGGAGTTAATATGCCACCAAATCAGTACAAGTGGTCATCAGTGACCATTTGCCTGGAGGTTGGGCCACCAGCACAGAGGATTTTTAGTACAGGCCATCAATGACCATCTATAGCAGATTGGGCAACTGATGGCTTCCACCTCAGATCCTTTTTTCTGCTGGAACAGGGAATTGGGCCACCATTTGTCAAATGTGACATTCCCCTGGTGTTATCCGGACCAGTGATCTGCTAGGTCATTCCAGTCGTTAACTCTGGAAGCCAGCCTTACCCTGCTCTGCTGTGAGAACCCCCACTCCTGGGCTGTTCACGCACAGCCTCTGGCATGTAAGCTGCTCCTTAGATTGGGCAACCGAATGACACTAGCCAATATCTCCTGTCCCAGACACAACCCTAGGAACCTCTGTCTTGTAGTGTCAGTTATGCCCCCTGGACGCTGCAAGCTTATATGAGTTTGTCAGTTTAACAAAGAAATTGACATGCACCAGTCTTGTTATCCCAAATGCACTGCTTCAGGTAGAATAAACAAACAAATTTATTAACTACAAAGATAGATTTTAAGTGATATTAAGTGATAGCCAAAAAGTCAGAGTTAGTTACCAAAAGAAATAAAAGCACGCAGTCTAAACTCTCAACTCTATTAGACTGGGCAACATCTAGATTAAGCAGTTTTTCTCATCCCACTGGACATTAAAGTTCTTAATATACAGGTTTTTTCCTTAAACCTGGGCCAATATCCTCTGTTGGAGTCTTGTCTTCTTCTCAGTGTCTTAGTTGCTTGCAGTGAACGTGGGGGCAGGAGAAGGGCCCAGTATGTGTCCACTCTGTCTGTTTTATACCCTCAGTCCATGTGCTTGGGGAGCACAAGGCCAGGCATGTCTGCGGGACATTGCTGAGTCTCTCCAAGCAAGGTTGAGCAATTCCCCTGGTGTGGCTCATGCAGGTGAGTCATTGCATTGTAGCTCCCTTGCTGGGCAATGACTGTTGATGGGCTGATTGACACCCTGCCCAGGCATTGGTTACTTTCCTTGCTGTTGCCTCTGGGGAACTAATATCTGGATGATTCCTCAATTTACAGCATGTTTTAGTGACCACCATACAACACAATTCTAATTATTTCATATGCATTAATGATACACATATATGGATAGAGAAATGACTTTCAGCAGATCATAACCTTTCCCTGGATACCTTACAAGGCATGCTTTATATGTAAGATCACAATTATATGAAAATGAGGAATATAGGGGTCACAGTTCACTCCCCCAAGGTATAGAATGTCACAGACCTACCTCTTGAGCAGGGGGAATCCCCCTGCATATCTCCCTGAGCCCTGGAGAGCCTGCTAGAGGAAAAGCATTTTTCTGACCTCCATTTGAAGCAGAGCCTAATGACATATGACACCCCCATGTGTAGCTGTGTCATTTCATTCTTTTCACATAAGTCTACAGTACCATTTTGGAAGCTGTTTTGTTTACATAAATTACACATTTTGAATCAATTGTCTTATTTCTTTTAAATTACATATTCTAATATTCCTCCTGCCCTAGCAGTTTGCTGGGTATAGGAATATATTGTAGCTTCAAGTATGAACTCACTGAGGACATGAACTAGTTCATTTGTTTGTAGTTTTTCGCCATCTCCTCCAGGAAAAGATAAGAGCTGAGATAAGAGTGAGATAATTAGTAGGCTGCGGTAAGCAACTAAAAGAGCTGGCAAAGATGATGAGTGGCACCACTGATCTCCATTCTGTGCTGTTCCAGACACCGCGTCTCTCTCCCACTGCCCTGCTGCCCCATGTGTGACTGATAAGTCACCTGGAATGGAGCCACTGGGATTCTATGGGGGAGATCATGCAGGACAAGCTCTGTGAAGCTCCCTGTGAATTTGAAATACTCATCTCCCACTCAGTCAGCCAGAACTTTGAACATGCTGCTTAACCCACCTTGTATGGGCATTTTTACAGGGATAACTTGATAGCTGAATGGGCCACATATGGACGTGGGTATAGATCCTGATTCAATGCCCTCCCCCATTCATCCACCCACCCATGTACTCATTCATCTCCATCCACTCTCCACGATATGAGAATTTGATCAGGCTCTTATTTGGTAATTTGATTCCTGTTTTGTTAGAATTTGTGTACTGATTAGGGTTACTTACACTTTATAGACCACCAACTGTGTAAGCATTGGCATCATAAAATCTCAATAAATAATATCTAAGGGATAGTTTAGAATATTGTTTATTTTTAAAAATGACCTCTCCTACCTTAAGAGTTTGGGTTGGAAAAAAAATTGGAAGGGAAAGTAATAGAAAAAAAATCAACCCACCAAAAAAGAAGGCATATATATAACTATTTTGATGCAATTTATTCAGTACCGATACTATGTACCTCACAATGAAACCAAAACAATTAAAAAGCAGTTGGAATATTAGCCTATAGGGTAAGACTGGGGTGGTCCAATGAGACAAGAAAACAAAGGCAGACACACAGGACTCATGAAAGAAGTGAATGGACTCCTCTGAAGAGGGCAAGTAGAAGTGTGTCAAAGACTCTGTAAAGAAGAAAAGGAAGACAGTGTTGTACTTCTGTGAAACCACTCTGAATACAGAAACCAACAGTACTTGTGTACGTGCCTGATCCAACACCAACTGAAGTCAATGGAAAGACTCCACTTGACTCCAAGAGGCATTTAGATCAGGTCCAATGTGAACAGAGTGTAATTCTGGTGATTTTGGTATCCTTTTATTATATTGTGCTTAGATTTGTAAAATAAATAGTGAACAAAAAGCTTATTTCTCTATGATAATTTAGGTAATTAAGGAGATAATTAAAACCAAGTATTACAACATAGTGCCAACAGTTGGCTTCATCCAAAATCAATTCCCCAAAGACTTCTGAATTGTTACAATATCGCTGCACAAAAAGCACAAAACAAGGTTCCCAGTCTGTCCCTTACATTATAACACACTTTCACTTCCAGCCTGCCATAATCAAAAGCCTGGAGAAACAGATGGCTCTTCGATCTTACTGCATGTGCCTGTCTGAAAGTGCTTGTGTTAGTGCTCACACACACTTTCAAGGTGAAAGATGAAGAAATTGTATTAACTAAGCCAGACCCTAATTGTGCCCACTGATATTTATGTGTAATTCCCATTGAAATGTTCATGGTGCCAACATATAGCAGGATCAGTGCAGATAAAGAAGTAATGCCATACTTCACTGTCCAATGGGAAAAGGGATGTGGGTGGCGAGGGGGGTGTCTGGCATCCAGAACTGAGCATAGTGTGTGGAGCAGAAATGATTATGAGGCATCTGGGACTTTTGAGTCTGTGGCCTAATGCTAGTTGATTTGGACATGCCATTTCTGATATATGAGAATTGGATACATGCTTTTTTTGCCATATATAAATCAGGAATGGTTTGGCCTTGACACTGGAAATGTATTTGGAACAGGACCAGTTTTATATGTGAGTTTTGGGGCTGTATATTTTGGAGGCTAATCACCGCTGAATTAGGAATGTCTCAACAATCCATTGGGCTTGACAGGCTTCCGCCCTGGGCATGCTAATGACTCCGTTCTATAAGGCGCAGAGTACTGATGAGTAATTCTATCGACCTCAAT